AGGCTGTGGTGGTGGAGATGATTCTGACCTTCCACAAGGCCTCCAGCCCCACTCCCCGCATGCCAAACCTGGAGGTGGGAGATGGGGTGTAGGAGAGAGTGTTCTGCGGTCGGGGTGTGGGAGACTTGGCTTGGGTGGGACTGAAAAAGGACCACGTGTAAGGCAGGCAGACATGGAAAATGAGGCAGAGGCAGGCGGGAACAGAGAAAAGTGCAGGAATTACAAGAGGCCAAGTAAAGCTGGCTGGAGCCAGAGTAGTGTAGTGGTTATGACCTGGGCTGCTAACAGCAAGGGCAGCACAGTTCGATACCACCAGCTGCTCCTCAGGAGAGAGATGAAGCTTTCTACTCTCAAAAAGAGTTACTGTTACCATCTCGGAAACCCACAGGGCCAGGGTCTACCCTGTCCTGCAAAGTCACTAGGAGTCAGCATTGACTCGATGGCAGTGAGTTTGCGTTTGGGCAGAGAGAGGAAGCAGAAAGGGGACCAAGAGCGAGATGAATTCAGAAGCCGAAGGCTGAGGCCAAGGAAGCGTGTGAGAGAGGCCTATCCCTAGAGGCCGAATGACAGGGGCGGCTGTGAAAGACAGAGAGACTGAGAAGACGGTGGGCAGCAGAGTGGGAGAGAGGCTGAAGGCAAGGCGTGGACTGTACGGGAGAGACTCAGGTGAGCGAGGGTTTGAAGGGTGAGGATAACGGATGAGAGAGCAAGGTGGGCTTCCCGCAGGGGCGTGGGAGGGGCCAAGATTGGGTCTGGGAGGTCCGTGGTGCGCCTGCACCCCACCCCCACCCCAATCTGGCACCTGCTCCCCGTTTGGGCGCCGGCATCCTCCCAGCACATCGCCCGGGAGAGGGGGTGGGGGCAACGTCGGAGAACCTCTTCCAGACCAGACTGCACAGCAAAACCGAGCCGGCTGTGCCCCTCCCCCGCTAGCTACAGGTGAACAGCCCCCTCCCCACCCCGTGGGGCCCCATCCGGAGGCCACGCCGCCGAGGGACCCCGTCTCCGCCGGCCACCCACTCCTCCCGGGGCCGTCTGGCGGCTGGGAGGCCAGTGTTAGCCAAGCGCCGGGCGGGCTCGCACGTTCGAACCCCGAGGCTGCCCAGCCGCAGAAACGCCCCCGCCAGCGCGGGCCGAGCGCTGAGTGACGGCGAGCGACTCAGAGGCGCAGAACCTGCCTGGCTGAAAGGCCGGGAGGATGAAACTCCGGCGCGGGACCCAAGGGCCCGGAGAGAAGGGGGAAAGTCGAGTGTGGACGCAGCCACGGGCCCCGAGGCCTCAGACGGCGGAGGTCGGACGGGCCAGCGCGGATCCAGCCCAGCCGCCCCGCAGAGGGTCGGAGGCGCGCGAG